GGCGCCCGCCTGGCCGCCGGGCCGCCGCCCCCTCCGACGCTTCCGCCTCCGCCCAGGCTCTCGCCGGAAGGAGACAGCCGGGAGCAGCCGCGGAGCTGCATGGGGGCCACCCCGAAAGGACGCCCCAGCTGGTGCTGGCCACCAGCACGGGCCTGGAGGGTGGCCAGGGTGGCCACCGCCCTGCCCCCCCAGGGTGGCCCCTCTTTGGGGGCGGCCCCACAGCCGCCTCAGCCGGCACTGGACGCGTCCGCTCACTTTAGAGACGCAGCGTCCGTGGACACGGTGTTCAGACGGGCGCCGCCCGGCCAGGCCTCCGCCGCTGCCGGCCAGGCGGCCGTGTCGCCGCCTGTGCGGCCCGTGCGCTGCGCTGGCGTGGCTGCGCTCGCCTCACCGGTGCGTCACAGCGGATGGCGCGTGTCCTTCGCGGGAGCGAGCCCCGCCACAGGGCCGATGCCGCCGGCGCCCTCCCTTCACGCCTTCCGCCGGGGCCTGGGCAGGGGCTGCGCGGGGGCACTTCTTGGCCAGGCCCTACCGATGCCCGCCTGCTGCCCGCACTCCCCCGGGGTCGGGGCGGCCCCGGCCTGGGGCCCCGGGGTCTCGGCCATCTGCTGGCTGCTCTTGCACTGAGCTGGGCAGAGGCCAGGCGCTCCTCGGCGGCTGGGGCGACAGACACGGGAGCGGTGGCCACGCCTCACCTGGGCCGTGTCCTCCGTGTGCGTCGGAGGCCCTGCCCGGCCCTCTGGGGCGGGTGCCTACCACCACCGCCAGGCCCGTGGGCGCCGGAGGCCGCTGGCCGGTGCGGGCCGGGTCAGGCGGGGCCTGCGGCGCTGCTGGCTGTCATCGTACCTCCCTGTGCCAGCTGTGCTGGCCGCTGAGGGGGCAGCCTGGGCAGTGGTGCTGCTGGGGTCGGCTGCCCACAAGGCCTCCTGGGGCACTGGACGTCGGGGATGGGCGTCGGAGAGGGGAGGGTTTTAAGGTTTCTAGTGAAGGGTAGTGATGGGTGGCCATGACCTGTGCTGGGAGGGGCTGAGTGCGGCCTGGGCCCCCGGGGCCGTCGCGAGGTCCGACCTCGCCTCGGCGGTCACCGCCACGTGCGTGCAGGAAGGCGGTGCAGCGCTCACGGGAATGTCGCGTTGTATTCTCAAGGAGTTGTTATCTGTGTTCTTTGTAAAGATGATATTGCAAATCTTTTTATTAAATAATGTAAAAGATGTATATCTGTATTTTTGGATCGTGTTATAGATTATGGATATATTGTTTAATAAATAAAGTATTTTTTGGAACAAAAGTTGTGAGTGCATCATCCCGAGAGGCCAGTGCTCCGCCCGCCCCTGGCCCTGAGGGTGTGACCCAGTGGCCCGAGTGTCCCAGCCAGGGCGCAGTCCATGGCCTGCTGAGCATACGCCTGGCATCGGAGGCTGCCCCCCCAGGTGTCGAAACCCCCTTGGGACTAACTTTTTGAGGTGTGTTTGCATTTTGTGGCCATCTCCATGGGGGAGCACGCTGAACGGCCGTCCCCAGTTCCCTGGGGTCATCTGCACTGGCTGATGGCGGAGTCCAGCGGAAGGCTGGTTGGCTCGCAGGGCGAAGGCGCCGCGCCCAGCACTCCGCTGGCCGCGAGGTCCTGGGCGTCGGTCCGCCACGGTGGCGGGGGTCCCCAAGCGGCCGGACGCGGAGCCGGGGGCGCCCCGGCCCGGGGCGCTGCGGACACCACGCTCAGGCACCTGTCCACCCAGGGCGGGGCGGGGCGGCCCCTTCACGGCCCGGGGCGGAGGGGACATCTTGGGCGCATTCTGCGGCCCGCGCGGGCGGACCCGGCCCTTTGGCCAGAGCCCCTGCTCTGGTGGGGCGCCAGACGCCCCTGTGGGGTCCGCAGCAGGGCGGGGTGTGAGCAGTTGTCCTCAGGGGTGTGAGCAGTCGTGGCCGCGGTGGGGGCGGGGGCGGGGCTTCGGGGGCCGAGTAACTTATGCACGAGCGCCACTCGCGGGCACCCGCTCCGTCGGGATCTCCTGCCTCCTGCTCTGACTCTTGAGCTCCC